TTAATTTTTTGTGAATTTTTTTCTCCCCCATAGGAAAACATGGAGCTGTCAAATTTCGACAGATGTCAAAAGTTGGTGGGGGAAAAAAATCAGCAAAAATTAACGAAAAGTCAGATCAAAGCCAAATTAAGTTTGCACCCGTTTTAGAAGGTGCACTAACGATTCCAAGCATTTAAAAGTTTTTGAACCTTTTAAGACACACTTAAATTTGCAAAAATGGACATCGCAAAACCATTGAAATGCACTGAATAGGCTTCAATACATTCCAATGGAGGAAACATTGTATCACTTAACGATGTTTCCTATGGGTTGTTTCGCTTAAAGACGGCAATCCGTGCCTATTGGAACGGATTAACTGGTTTTCAATGCATCTCTATGGGAAAACGCGTTTCGCTTAATGATGTTTTCCCATAGCGATGTTTTTTTGGAACCAATTAACATCGTTAAGCGAGGCACCACGGAGTAACTTTCACAGGGCAGTAATGAATGGTAGTATTCTTTTAGTACCTAATAGTTTCTGACTAGCTTTATCCCTTTCTCACACACACAGATATACACACAGTCTATTATGCTGTCCCCAACTCTCCCATGTTAGAGGAACTCAGCCAACCTTACAATATGACTGCTTTGTTCTTTATGAAGAGAATCCCCCCCAAGTAGGTTTCAAAACCAGCAACAATTAAGCTCATTTTTATGCAACTCATTTTCTCCCATTCAATAGAAGCAGCTGTACATAATGAACCTCAACCTTAATCAGATGTAAATGATTAAAGAACTAGGTATCATGTACATCAAGGGTAGCTAAATCTTAACAATCTGGTTGCCCAGATAACATAAATGCAAGCCCCCAGATTTGCCAGGTTTCACTCAAGCATCAGCATCACCAGACGTGTGAAGTACACTGCTAACAAGGCACAAAATATCAAATTAGCTGAACAAAAGGGGAAGTCTTCTTAAACTAAGCTTGGCTAATTTTAGAATGGGAGCTTCTTGGAAGACAAAAAAGAAAGCCTTACACAAATGCTCCATTTTAAATGCTTGCTAAATGTCAAAGTTGTCATCAGCTGATGATAACTCAGATTATCTCACAAAGGTTACCAGAGATGTGCCAATGATTTAATTGTAGCTCTTCACAGTCAGGAGTGCCCATCCCCCTCTCCACATGAAATTAAGGTGGGGGTTTGCTTTTGACTTACATGATGTGCACTGCATCCTAAACTACAGAAGAACCCTGAACCATTTAGATCCTTTTCTGTGCCAAAGAATGAACAAGCACAAAGAAATGGCTAGGAGAGGAGTACTGTACATTGCCCTCGACTCTCTTTTCACTTCGACCTTGACTTAACTGTTGTAGGGGTAAGTCTCACACCTGTCACAGCAGTGGATTGCCATAGTGTCAATCTGGTCTTAGGGTTCCCCTAGTGTAGCTGCCGCTGTGACACCTGGATCCTCCCAGTCCCTGCCTTCTGCACACCATTCTACCTAATGGGCGGAATGTTTTCCTCTCCTTCCACCAATGAATGAGGCGTTCTTTGACACAGCTTCAAAACCATTGGCATAGAAATATCTCCTTCTCACAATTGAATAGGTTGCTCTACATTTCAAGCAAGTTGGCTCGTGATGGTGGAAAGAGAAGTAATTATAACCAATATATACTTGGAACACTAAAAGTAAAGCCTGTGACATTCGGTCAGAAAAGGAATACATGTGTTTAGAAGTGTGTATTGGGATTAGAGGCAGATTTACTGACAAAATTCTACCCATAGATACCCTGTGGGTTATCCCGTAGAGTTAGTGACTTTACAGTGTTTTTCACTCTTCATTAACCGTCATGTACAAAGAAAGTGAAATTCAGAAAACTAAGAAAGTTGCCATACATTCAATTGGAAAAGTAGAATGGGTCCAGTACATTTTCCTTACGAGCTTGTGTATAATAATTTTATTTATTAAACCTTATTTATCTACTGCTTTTCACACAAGTGTATCTGAGGGCAGTACACCATAAGAAACTGGTAACAAAATGTAATCACATACTGTATTTTTCCATTTATAAGACACACCCCACTTTTCTAACCCAAACACTTAGCTCTGAGTATTCAACCTCTGGGCTCAGAACGTCGGACATTACAAGTTCCTGTTGCATCTGAGCCTACAGGCTCCACTTCCAAGAGATGTGTTCTAATTGGTTTGTACAGCATCAGCTGATGGCAGTTCCATAAATCTCCTGACTGTAGGAAGCTAAGCCTTGTGACTGAAGGAAGGCTGTTTACAGAGGCAAGGTAGGGAAAGTTTTGTTATCTGCTCAGCTATCTCGCCTTACTTCTGTGTAAAAGACGCCCCTCAATTTTTCGTGTAATGATTTTAGGAAAAAAGTAGCATCTTATACATGGAAAAATACAGTAATTAAATGCAACACACATATATGCATATATACACACATACAAAATAGAAGCAAAATCACCTTCCAAATTCACCACAACTTTAAATTCAGTTCAGTGAGTAAAATGGATGACTCAATTATAATAATTTTAAATATAGCACTCCTTTTATCATACAATCATTTCATTTAATGATTTAAAATACCCAAGAGAGTAAAAATGTCTTAAACTGGTATCTAGAAGAGAACAAAAAAGCTATGAGATGAATTTTCTGGGTAAGTAAATTTGATAACCAGGGACATATGGTTTCCTTTTCTCTCTTCTGATAGTCACAATTTATTATTATTATTATTTATGTAGCACCATGTATGTGTTATGCTTTACATACAGAATATAAGAGGAATGGTCCTGCCCTGTTCTGACACGGGGGAAATAACAGTCTACAGGAAGACTGGGTCAACTGAGAAATAATATGTGGCTGTTCTAGTCATACAGGCTGAAGTTTATAGTTTATCTGCACTATGCAATTGTAGCAGTTTGATATCAGTTTAACTGTCACAGATCCATCATATGAATCCTGGGGTGACTAGTTTGGTGCAGTATTTAGAATCCTCAACCAGAGAGGTAATGTGTAGAGATGGGGGTATCTGTATACAAATACCTCTGCACATCTGGATGTAACGAGGTCTGGCCCCTTGGGACCAGACTACACTCATGCGTGTGGCGGCGGCGGCTTTGCTCTCTCTTCCAACTGCTCTGGAGCTTGTGGTCAACTAGCTACTCATCAGCCTGGCAGAGAGGCTCGTCTTCCCCCCTTCTTCCAGGAGTGGCTAGATGACTGTGAGCACTGAAGCAATTGGAAGGGAGAGCATGCATGACGCATCTGCTGCTGCTGGTGGCTTTGCTCTCTCTTCCAATTGCTCCAGTGCTCACAGTCATCTAGCCACTCCTGGAAGAAGGGGGGAAAGACGAGCCTCTCTGCCAGGCTGATGAGTAGCTAGTTGACCACGAGCTCCAGAGCAGCTGGAAGAGAGAGCAAAGCTGCCGCCACTGCATGCATGAGTGTAGTCTGGTCCCAAGGGGCCAGACCCTCGTTTTATGTCCAGCTGTGTGGGGGTATTCATATTCGTAAACAAATACAAAGACCTCCATCTCTAGTCATGTGCTCTAGTTAAGGGACTGCCTTAGTACTCTTCTTCAGCAGAGAATTCTATGTACTACAACCAGCCTACAAATCCCAGGATTCCATATGATGGAGCTATCCCACCTAGAGTGGTCGTAATTGACCAGATAGGAGGGGTATAAATGGAATGAATGAATGAATGAATCCCACTTTAAAAAGTACCAAATTGTGATAACTGTATTGTACAAATACACTCTTTTTTACAAAGAATAGGAAGTAAGCATGAGAATTATATAAGTCACAAGAAGTGAGAGGTTGTGCCAAAGGCTTCATGGAAATTATGGGTTTGAAGGAAATAAATTGTGAGTATCGAGGAAATGAAAGTGTTGGCCTAACACAAGTTATCTTGGCAGTAGTTCCTAGGACATGTGGCAGCAAGAGAACAAGAGTGGAGACCTTTAAGACCTTCAGATGGAGGGGACGGCATAGCTGGAAGAACAGAGATCAGTAGCAAGAATGTATCAGGATACAGGATGGAGACAAGAGGAACAAGTTTACTGAAGGTTTTGAAAGTAAGGAAAAGATGTTTGTGATGAATATGACAGGAAGCCATCATCTAGTACATATCTGTTGTTAGCTATAGCAAGTCTTATTTAGACTAATGTTATCTGCTTTCTGGAATATACTCAGTAAAGACAAACATATCCACAGAGGTCCTCCCTTAAATCACAGGACTTCTGTGGATATGCCTGCCTTTATACAATTATCTTGATTATGCTATTTAGGGTTGCCATTGTTTTTACTGGTCCTGTTTCTGTGCCTTTAACAACAGACTTGCAAAGAATTAGAAAGCAAACTTCTTCCTAGCAAGGAACTGAAATTACAGGAGAATTCCTCCATACTGAGCTGCTGCTAAAGGCCTGGATAGTCCAAGAAGTAAGGAGCTACTATGCATGTATCATTTTTATTTTAATCTTGAGAAAATGGAAAGTTCACTGTGATTACCTGCATTAAAATGTGGATCTTCTTCCATTACTACTACGGCTTCTTCAACAGCATCTAATGCATTTCCTCCCTCTTTCAGGATATTGTAACCTTTCAGTGCTGCTCTGATGACTCCAGACCGACTTCCCTCTTCCCGCTCTTTAAAGATGCGACCAGCTCCACCATGAACCACAATAACTGGCTTCATATTCTTGAATCTTTTCCTGACTAGGAAGATATAATTATTCTTCAGAATTAGTGTCTCTTGTAGAACAAAGTACAGAGCATGCTACAACCTTTTCTTCATTTGCTACTTCAGTTGATGACCTCTGATAAGACATCACCTGGGACTCTTTCACAAAGAGATTGTACATGTCAGTGGACCTCTCCTGATCCTCAAAACCTGTCAGAGCTGCACTATCTAAACATTTCTAAAGTGTAAGGAATTTATACTTCAGATTTTTCTACTAACTTAAGGTTCAAAGTTCAGTCTTCCCCATGTTAAATTTAAATTAACTTTTATTACTGATTAAACAGAAACAAAACAAACTTGTTTGTCTCAACTAGAGTAAATCTTCTGGATCAATCACATTTATATAAGTGTTGATTCAATGGGTCTGGACTAGCTGGGACTAACAGCTAGGACTTAGATACTACTACTACCACCACCATCAACAGCAGCAGCACCAGTAACAACAAAAATATTAACAATAATAATTGAGTACTTTTTCTATCTATTGCACATTTTAATTTATTGTCTCAGAAATTCTACTCAGGCTAGCTTTTATATATGTGTTGTTGTGGTCTCCCATCTTACAAGACACTCTCTCTCTTGTATGTATGTTTGAGAGAGACAGGGAATATCTTTTCTAAGATATTGACCCAAATATCCTTTCTTCTTTATGTTGGTGCACCACAATCTGTGTAATTTTTTGTAAGTGAATTGCCCTAAATTAAGAAATCACCACAGACATTATCAATCATATACTGAATTGACTGAGTCAGCATGCAACACATAAAGTCTATGGCAATTTTTTAAGTTGGGGGAATTTGCCTACAGAAGTTATGCCATTTGTATGTAAGAAGTTTTTGATCATTGGTTGTTGTGGGTTTTTCGGGCTCTTTGGCCGTGTTCTGAAGGTTGTTCTTCCTAACGTTTCGCCAGTCTCTGTGGCTGGCATCTTCAGAGGACAGCACTCTGTGCTCTGGTGTAGTTTGCTTGAGAGTGGAATATTTATGGCTGTGAGATAGGCTTTTGTCCTATTCAGGAGATGGGTGATTAGTGTGTCTTGTTGGAGGTGTATTGTTGTGATAAGGAGAAGAGATCTGTCACTGTGATTGATGGGTGTTATTAGCTGGTCTTTTGTGTGTAGTGATCCCTGGTCCTGGTGGCTGGGTAGAGGTCGCTGACCTTTTGCAGGCTGTATTTTTCAGAGCTGGAAGCCAAGTTTTGTTGAGTTTCAAACTTTCCTCTTTTTTGTTGAAATTCTGTTGGTGCTTGTGGATTTCTCTTCTCCTTATCACAACAATACACCCACAACAAGACACACTAATCACCCATCTCCTGAATAGGACAAACACCTATCTCACAGCCATAAATATTCCACTCCTAAGCAAACTACACCAGAGTACAGAGTGCTGTCCTCTGAAGATGCCGGCCACAGAGACTGGCAAAACGTTAAGAACAACCTTCAGAACACGGCCAAAGAGCCCAAAAAACCCACCACAACCATTAGATCTCAGCCATGAAAGCCTTTGCGAATACGTTTTGATTATTGCTTGGCTTCCATGGTCATATGAATCTATAATTTGTTTCTTCAGAATTCATCCTGATAGCCAAATTAAGCAGATTAGGCGCAGTGGCTGTGTATTAATTCTAGTACTCCAAGCACTAGTTACTGGGAAATAAAGCTGGGAAGGTGCTATTGCATTGATGCGCTACTTGTGGGCTTTGAGTTCTGGGTGGAAACAGATTGCTGGACAAAACTCGCCTTTAGCTTGCTCCAACATAGAACACCTTATGTTCTTAATTAATGAAAAGGTCTTTAATGAATAAACTTGATTAAAATAATTCATCCGTATACTAACTATTATTCCCATGGAAAATGTGAAGGAGCAATATGAACCTCACAACAATCAGGGATACACCCTGGAGAACCATGACTTATTAGGCTGTCTTGCAATGCCAACAGTACATTGAAGAAAGGCACTTCCCTATTGGGGTTTATTAAGACAAAACTAATGGTGAATCAGTGAGCTGCTCAACCATCTGTGGATAAGTTTTAAAAAGTAAATGCCTTAATCCTGCAAAGTCTGCTCTTATTAAACTCTCATGGCTCTAGCAATCACATGTAACCTCTGTGACACTGCAATAGTTGGTAAAAAGAATAAAGTCAGATTCTAGTTTCTAGGACACAAACCAGGGCACATAACACTTTCTTCTGAATCAGAAGGCTGCTTCTGACAGTGTGATTTTCATCAATACAATTGTTCCTGTCAGTCACTCTTGTGCTGAAAACTCTAACTGAACATTTTTACAAAAGCATCTACCAGAGAGCTAGATGACACAAAGAGAATGGAGTGGCTTGCTATACTGACAAATGACTCACAAGGAATAGTCCTTATACCCAATTGTGTCACAGCACAGAGATTCAGGCCTACACTCATGAGTGAAAATTATAATGAAGGAAGCTGTACATTCCATCTAAGCCTATCTTTTGGTGTCTTTTTGTACTGTTTGGTTCTCCTTTGGAAAAACTGACTTTTCAGGGGAAAATATTTTTAAAAGCGAATGGCAACTGTCCTATTATACACTTGGCAGAACTGTTTTGAGGAAACATAGAGCAGAAGGGCAGTTACATGGCAGTTTCAACATCTCTGGCAGGCTGTCCTTTGTCCAGCATACCCACATTTCTGCAATGAGATCCTGACCACTTGTTCTGTCCACATTCCAAATGCATCAACCATTTCTCACTACACTACATTGAAAAATAGACTGATTTGATCTTTCAAGAGGTGGTTGGGGGCTTTTGGTGGGGGTTGTAAGTTTCAGGAAGCCATCTTTTTACAAAATCACACCACTAGTTCTTCCAGTTAAGTACTGAGTTAAATGCCTGTCCAGAAGCTTCAGACAAGATCGTACTGCAGCCCTACCTGAATATGCCAAGGGTTTAATCTAGGCCTTCTACATGCAACGTACAGTACAGTACATACAAGCTACTAAGAGTGGAACCATGTAGTCAAATAACATGAGATTTACCCTGCTTATAAACCGGGTTAATTCAAAGTATTTTTTACTGGCCTCATGATGCAAAGGCAAATTGGTCCAGCCCTTTTTGCTCCCAAAGCAGATTTTCTTCTCTGCCGCTGGGAGGCATCTACATTTTCAAGCTAGAACCATTCCAACAGTAAGTTGTGATACATTCTTGTAAAGAGAGAGGGCATTCTGTGGGTGGGGTTTCAGTCATGTAGGCAGTTGGGGCACAATATTCAGGCCTTGGAGAGTCACACAAAGCAAGGTACCATTATTTTAATGTGGGGGATTGAGTGCTAGTTCTAAATCTTATCAAACACAGTAATTTTCAAGTTGTGTAGGGAGGCCTTCTTGCTGTACCAGCAAAAGCTTAGTGCTGTTAATTACTTAACCAACAGGTCTGAAACTGATCTTTTTATGGTTCATGGTGAAGTCGCTTTCTCATTTAAAGCTTGAGACTACTACATTTCAGAAACATACATGGAAAGTTAATTCACAACCTAAGAGTACACAACATCAAAAGTTTGAACAGTATTTTTGCAAAATACATCATAATTCACATGTCAGAATGATTCTATAACCACCTTCCTCTTCCCATCTCTTACTCTTTTCCCTTAATTTCAAGTAACACATGCAGGCATTACTTCATCTCTGGTTACCATGATTTAAAACTAGTGATGTGATAAACTGTGATTAGAAATTAAATAAAAGTATCAGCAGAAGCAGGACCAGAAAAAGGAAGGACAGCCAGAGGCAGGACCAGAAGAAGGGAGGCTGCATGCTGGACTGCAACTCACATCACAACAAGTGTGAAGGGTGAACTCCCAAACTAGTGGTCACACAGCCCCTGACTGAATTTCAAATGTAATACAGGCTGTGAATCAAATCACAGTGTAGCCATATCTTAAATTAAGGTCCATCACAGTAGTTAACTGGTTGTCTGCTGTGTATTCTCATATCAAGAGGACTAGATCACATTATTAAATATATCCTGTCATTTAGATGTCAACATTAGGCTCTGTCACCAGATGACCTCTGCCATCACAGATGGATTTTAGAACTTGCACTAACTTGCTGATTTACAGTATGTATTTTTAAGTACTGAGAATTTATTTTTAAAATGTGTTACTACTAAGAGAGACTTTTCAAAGCCAGGCAAAGGTATAAATGCCAAGTTACAGCTTGGAAACACTACAAGACTACAACTCCCAGGGTCCCCTTGGCAGCAAGCTACAGTGACGGTGTGTCATGGAAGTTGCAGTCTAAAGAAACAATTTTTCTCAGCTCTGGGCAGAACTGAGGAACCTACAGCCATTCAACCATTATTAAAATATGATCCCAGCCATGCCTCCCTATTGGCTCAGTTGATTAGGGCTGATGGGGTTTCGAATCCAGTAACGTCGGGATAGCTGCTTTTAGTCAAGTCCTGCAGCCTCCCCATAGGCCTCTATCATCGTTGCAGATGCCCAGCTAACAAAGAACTGGTTCACACATTCGAAAAGTGCACCAAGTGGAAATTTAGCACTCGACCTGTAACTCAAGTTACCAACAAAATAAATGACCCCCCTCGTGTTCAGAATGGGGGAGGAGCCATTACAAAACACCGCCTCCCAACAGGAACAAAACCTACTCGTTCACACATTCGAAAAGTGCACCAAGTGGAAATTTAGCACTCGACCTGTAACTCAAGTTACCAACAAAATAAATGACCCCCCTCGTGTTCAGAATGGGGGAGGAGCCATTACAAAACACCGCCTCCCAACAGGAACAAAACCTACTCTATTCACACATTCGAAAAGTGCACCAAGTAGAAATTTAGCACTCAACCTGTAACTCAGTTACCAACAAAATAAATGACCCCCTCGTGTTCAGAATGGGGGAGGGGCCATTACAAAACGCCGCCTCCCAACAGGAACAAAACCTACTCTGGCACCTTTACGACGGAACAAATTTACAGTACTTCGCAAGTGATGGAGTTTGACTACAACTTCTTCGGACCACGTGGACTGTAATTTGTGATCCACCAGTGCTCACATCGAAATGCACCTGTTGGTTCTCAATGTGCCACCACAATACTTTTCGTTTCGTTTTGTTGCTGTCACGGCTGAAACGGACTCCTCTCTAACGCGGCTCCCCCTCGGAAAGCCTGGCGGATGATCCCTTCTCCCCCTTTTAGCAGGAGAACACGATCTCAGATCGCCTGAGAAATAGGGGAAGAGAACTAGGAAAACGGGAGCAGGCACCGCTCTCACGGACAGCCTCTCTTCTGAAGACCCTTTCTTTCTCCCCCCCCCTCTCATCACATCGTCTCCCATTGACACCCTTTCCTCACGTCGTGGGGTAAGAAAGCAATCCGCGATGGAAAAGGGTGAAGATCATGAAGTGTTTAACAAGTCAGCAGCAAACACAAGGGGGGGGGGGAGAGGAACGAAGCGCAGTGTAGTGAGCCTGAAAAGGAACGCTCTCGTTCCTTCCTTCATTCTCCCGTTATCTCAGCCTGTTGCAAGATCTGTCTTTACAGAGCAGATTTACTCACAGAAAGCTGCGTTCCCGACTGCCTGCAGTCGCCCTCCACCACCACCACCCTTTTAAAAAAAGAGAGAAGGAAACGGAATCTAATAGAAGCCAAGAGACGCGTCCGACTCCTGCCCTCCTCTCCCAGCACAACGCCTTCCCAGAGCAAAGAGATGGGAGCAGCTCGTTGGCTTAACGTGTACCTTTGCCCTTGGAAAGGATACCTGCCGCCGCCTTTCGGTGCGATGAAGCCAAGTTACCCTCAACTATAATGGCCGCCGTTCTCTTCAGGTCCGAATAGGAAGGGGGCCGCCCTCGCTAAAATGGCTGACCCGTCGTGGTTCCTGTAGCGGGACTGAAGCAAAACGGTTACCCGTTGTAAAGATGGCTACATAGACAGGAGGTGTTTGTTTACCCGCCGGGCGCATCTCCTCGCTTCTCTCGGGGAAGGCTGAGCCAGTAAGAGGCAAAGAAAGTTGTTCAAGTGAGCTCGAGGAACCGAGGGACGACATGGAGACGACACGTTCAGATTTCAGGAGATAATAACAAACTGGCATCCTCGAAATTATTAAAGTATTATTCTTTTTATTATTATTATTATTATTTGCATTGGTAAGGAGATTACTAGAATTCTCAAGGTGAATTGCAGCTTACTCCGATACCACTCTGATGGCAGAAAGTGAGGAGGAATTAAAGAACCTCTTCATGAGGGTGAAAGAGGAGAGTGCAAAAATCGTCTGAAGCTCAACCTCAAAAAAACTAAGATCATGGCCACTGGTCCCATCACCTCTTGGTAAAAAGAAGGGAGGAGGCAGTGACAGATTTTACTTTCTTGGGCTCGGGGATCATTGCAGATGGTGACAGCAGCCACAAAATTAAAAGACTCCTCCTTCTTGGGAGGAAAGCGATGACAAACTTAGACAGCATTTTAAAGAGCAGAGACATCACCTTGATGACAAAGGTCCGCATAGTCAAAGCTATGTTTTTTTCAGTATCGATGTATGGAAGTGAGAGCTGGACCATAAAGAAGGCTGATCGCCTAAATAACAACTACTGAAGAGACGTTGTTGCCTCTGCATTCCTCCCCCCCCCCAATGGTTGGCTGTTCTTGATTTGAACTATCATTCTGATGGTCAGGTTTCAGGCCTGGAATACAGGAAGTAGTAACTAATGCCTCAGTCTTATTCCTTAAAATAATCCTAATTAACTAGAGGGACATTCTGCTGAGTAAACCATGCTGTAGGTAAGTGCAGGATGTGGTTTGCACTTAGCCCAGCCCAGCCCCACAAAATATATGATTAGGATCAATGGTTTCCAGGGCAAGCTTCATTGGACTAGTTATCCCTGCTGGCTAATAAACTTGGATGGTTAACCTTGGCTTGGTTATTCCTTTTTTGAAGTGAGGCCACTTCAGACAATATGTTTGGTATCTCCTTGAAGCCCGATTCTACTATGAGGGTGCTTCTGTGATGCACACTGGAAGCTATTGCCAGGGAGGCAGGAGAGCTGTCCTAAGAATTATTTTATTTATTTATTTATTTATACAGAAGACATTTGTTTCCATATTCCTAAATACAAAGACTTCATCCTCCATGAGGGAAAATAGAATGAAGCTCTGGAGCACTGCTGGTGAAAACATGATGAAGTTATTTTGCTGAAGCTATAATGGCCACAATGAGAGAAGCTAAGATAACCATCAGAGTCCACGATGGAAATAATATAAAATTGGATGGTGAGAATTCTACTTTTTTACTGATGGACTTTTTTCTGGATATTTAAAAATACTTTTATTAAGGCAAATACTTACTCAATTTTAATTTTTTTTTATATTTCTTTTTTTCTTTTTCTTCTTTTTTTAAAAGACTTTACTGTTGCCAGTCACCTTGGGCACATTTTAATGATAGGCGGCTTCCAGACAATATAAAAGAAAACATATACAAATAACAAAACAAGAAAAGTAAATCAATATAAGACAATAAACAATAAACAGTAGACAAATTCTTCAAAATGGAAAGTAACAGAGAAAAAGTGAAGAAGAAAGAAATTAAGTATTGACTGGAGGGAAGGCCTGCTTAAACATCCAGGTTTTTAGTTGGGTCTTTAAAATGCCCAGCGATGGGGCTGCACGAATCTCTGGAGAGAGGTTGTTCCAGAGGCGAGGGGGCACCGCCAAGAAGTCCTGATTTCTTGTTTTTTCCTTTTGGGCCTCCCTCGGCGTCAGGCCCTTCAGCCTCAACAACTGAACATGTGAAGAGGGCAACAGATTAGTCCCAGTTTCCTACATCATTTTATTTGTATAGTGACAAGTCTGAATCAAAGTATGCCTGGAGGTTCTTCATACAACTCTGGGCCCTGATTTCTCCCTGTTCTGGCTCACATGGTAAGTCTCCATGCATATAAAGAATCTATACTTCATATCTGTCACTACCACCTGACCAAAGTGATGACCAGAGAGGGTGGAATTAGTACACTTCTCACTTGTTTTGTTAAGCTCTATCAACTAAAGAGTTTGTTTCCACTTGGTGTTTACTTTTGGAGTGTACACATCTCATCAGATAAACCTTTCCAGAATGTAACAGCAGCCATCATGACCAAAATCGAGACTGAACTCTTGATGTTTGCCTCAATATGTTTCTGAGCCTTAATTAAATATGTATTTGGTTGGAGAAATGCTTGTTTCTCCTCGAAGTAACAGATAACGTTCTGTAGCAGAAGACAGGGCTCCTGTTTTTTGATGTGCTACAAAGAATGTCTAAGCAGACCTTTAACCTAGCCCATTTCTCCGCTCAAGTATCAGGTTCAGAAACAGCTTCAAATATATATGCTATATGGGCAGGCAAAGATATCAAACTTTGTCAGAGCTAAAAATAATCCAGAAAAGACTGCCTTGTCCTTGGGGGGAAAAACGGAGTATAAAGTAAAGTGAAAGAGACCCACTGAGGACTCTCACCACTCTCTTTAGTTATATAAAAGATTCCATGACTTGGTGGCCATCAAATAAAGGGCATCAAAAAATTAAATAGCACCAATGTGTTAGATGTGGTCTGGATGTCATGAGCTTGTTGAGAATAGAAATAAACTGAACTGGGGAACTTTGGCACAGAATCTTCCTTTTAGAATGACCTAGTATCTAGACAAAGATACAGAGTAGAAAAGCAGGAACAAGAATCCCAGGTCTCGTAGTATACATTTAATAATTTGTCCCTTATACAAAATTAAAATGCTACAGTACTTATGGCACACATGTGCCTCTGCTTACAGTTTATAGCACTGTATATCACAACGGTATCTGGAAAAAAATTATAAAAGAATAGGTAGATAGGGATACACATATAAATGTAATAACTTGAACTCTTCGCTGAGCTAATCAAGAGACATATAACCCTGCACTGACGAAGTAACAAATACAAAAAATATCCTGTGGAGATTTCTTAGTATGTGGGTATGGCCCAACAACTTGGTCTGAGGGAGAGTGACAAACACAAAAGTGAGATTGCATGAGTTTTCTCATCAGATAACAGAGGAAAGCCAGTTCCATGACAAAAACATATCTGATTAAAATTTACAGTTGGAAATGTGGAGGGAGAAAGAAAGTACGGTAGGTTCCACTAGAAGGCAGTTCTTGAAGCAGCTAAAGTAGGTGATCAGGGATGATTCCTGTTAGCTTGGTTTGCTGATGAAGAAATACTGAACAAAGAAAGTTCAGAGTAGACGTATATTGATCAGAATCCAATTCAGTATTTCTACAGGCAGAAGTGCAATAGCATAAATCAAAGTGGCAAACAGTTGTCAATTAATGAAATTTCAGCTGAATTCTTAATCACGTCCCAAGTCACACAACTGGTGCACAACTAGGAATTCAGTTGGAGACTTGCTAGGTAGAAGTTATTCACCATCATTGCATTAACACCAGCAGAAATACTGAATTGCATTCTGATCATTTTAATTTCAGTGTGGACACTGTGTCTATCTGAGATTGCAGAAGAAGTATGGCAGATTATGTATGTGTGCAATGACCAAATTTTTTGAGCAGTAGATAGTTGCCAATACTAGAGACAATTCAGATTCAGTTATCTGTTAAATACCATTTGCCACAAAATATTCACATACAGATGTACCTCGGTTTACAAATGCCTCGGCTAACGTAATTTTCGGTTTACAAAGGAAAATCCATTGAAAATAATGCCTCAGTTTACGATTTATTGTTATTTATTTTTTTACAGTACAAAGCAAGTTTCCCCAGGATGCACTGTGGCTGGAGGTTTATAGCGCTGCGCCCACTCCTATGGCAAACTGTGTCTCGGTTTACAAATTTTTCACATTACGTAGCATCCCAGAAAATGCATTAAATTCGTAAACCGAAGTACACCTGTATATAGAGTGAAAAAATTGAATCATGTATCCCGGTCCTCATTGTTTTATTATGAAGTTTGAAGGCAATCCAGTACACACTTACCTTAGAGTAGATAGATAGATAGATAAAACTTTATTACGGTCAAAGACCAGCCATAAACCTTAGATTAATGTACACCTCTAAACAGACAGATCATCAACTGAGGTGGGCAAAGTTGAACCCACCAAATAATGTTGGATTGGAATCCCTAACATTTCTCATCACTAGTTATGGTTATTAGAGCTGACTGGAGCTGCAGTCCAAAAACATCAGGGTAGTGGAGGATTACTTTCCATACTCCTGTGCCAGGCATCTCCCCTTCATTTTCCTCCCGTTTCACTCAATGCTGCTTTAAATTTATACTAAATAAAACCCTTTTAAAAAGAAGAATAACCTCCAGTTTTCCAAAATGTTCAATTCATTCAATTCTTGAAAGCCTTGAGTGGGATCCTATCCATTGCAGGAAGGGGTCTTACTTTTGAGTAAGTATTGGTCTTTAAATGATATTTTGTAAACAAAAAAGAAAGAAAAACTAAGAATAATTTTGTATGTACTGTGAACCATGGGGACGGATTTGAGATAATCTATTTTATTAGAAAATATGCTACACAGAATATAAATCTGATAAATTGTATATAAGTAGACAGGCAGAAATATTAGCTACAAATTGATATGAAATCATAGTCTTTGCATTGTAGTTACGGGGGGGCTGCTAGCTGCATGAAGAATTGAAATTGGAGAATACCCCCCCCGCACACAATTTATATGAATAGGATTATCACTTCCACTAGGGACGCTCTGAAAGCAAGCTATTGTATTTGGTTTTTTGCTTTTTGTAAAATACTTAATAGTTATAGAATAAATGGCAGATGATATGAAAGGTGCTGTGATTTGGAGGAAAATTAAATACATGGATACTAGGAATAATCTACAGTTTTCAAAAAGCAAAATATTTCTAAATATGTTTTGATGCATAACCTACAGTATTGTTTATCATATAATATACATATAGAT